GCTAGGCTGGAGTGCAGTGGCACAATCTTGGCTCACTGCAACCTCCGCCTCCTGGGTTCAAGCAATTCTCCTGCCTCAGCCTCCCGAGTAGCTGGGACTACAGGTGCACGTCACCGCGCCCAGCTAGTTTTTGTATTTTTAGTAGAGACGGCGTTTCACCATGTTGGCCAGGATGGTCTCGATCTCTTGACCTCGTGATCCGCCCGCCTCGGCCTCCCAAAGTGCTGGGATTACAGGCTTGAGCCACCACGCCCGGCCCTGTTGAACATCTTTTTATGTGCTTTTTGACTTTTCGTATACCTTCATTGGAGAAATGTCTGTTCAAGTCCTTTGCCTATTTTTTTTTTCTTTAAATCGGATTGCTTGTCTTTTTGTTGTTGAGTATAAGCATTCTTTATATAGTCTGTATATGAAATCCTTGTCAGATATATTATTTGCAAATATTTTTCGGTTTTCATTCACATTCTTTTTTTTTTTGAGACAGAGTCTTCCTCCATCACCAGGCACCAGGCTGAAGTGCATTGGCGACCTCGGCTCACTGCAATTTCCACCTCCCGGGTTCAAGCAGTTCTCCTACCTCGGCCTTCCGAGTAGCTGGCACTACAGACGTGCGCCACTACGCCCAGCTAATTTTTTTTGTATATTTAGTAGAGACGGGGTTTCACCATGTTGGCCAGGATGATCTCAATCTCTTGACCTTGTGATCCACCCGACTCGGCCTCCCAAAGTGCTGGGATTACAGGCGTGAGCCACCGCGCCCGGCCGCCTTTTTTTTTTTTTTTGAACTTTTTTTTTTAAGACGGGGTTTCACCATGTTGGTCAGGCTGGTCTTGAACTCCCGACCTCAGGTGATCTGCCCGCTTTGGCCTCCGAAGTGCTTGAATTACAGGCATGAGCCACTACACCCAGCCAATAATGACTTTTTTTTTTGAGACAGAGTCACCCTGGCTGGAGGGCAGTGGCGCTGTCTTGGCTCACTGCAACCTCTGCCTCCCAGGTTCAAGTGATTCTTGTGCCTCAGCCTCCCAAATAGCTGGGACTGCAGGTGTGTGCCATGATGCACAGCTAATATTTTTTTGTTGTTGTTAGAGATGGAGTTTCACCATGTTGCTCAGGCTCATCTAGAACTCCTGAGCTCAAGTGATCAACCTGCCTCAGCTGATGGGTTATAGGTGTGAACCACCGTGCCCAGGCAAAAATGACCTTTAATGCACAAGGGTTTTTAATTTTTATCACATTTTTCTTTTTTCTCTTGTTGCTCATGCTTTTGATGTAAAATTTAAAATTCATTGCCAAATCCAATGTCATAAAGATTTATCCCTATGTTTTATTCTAAGGATTTTATAGTTTTAGCTCTTATATCAAGCTTGTCCAACCCATGGCCCAGGATGGCTTTGAATGCAGCCCAACACAAATTCAATAGTGCTAAAACTATTTCCAGTTTTTAATTTATGAAGTAAATTAACAATATAAAGACATTTCTTATAATATTAAGTAAAAGAGCCAGATTTTAAAAATCATGTGGTTGATATGATCATGATTGTATAAAGAATATTCACAGAGATTCTACAAAGAAATACACCAAAATATTAAGTGTTTGGTGATGGAATTATAGATGACTTTCCATTCCTCTTTCTCTATTTTCCAAACGCATATTCCTCATTAAGCATGTATTACTTTTTTTATAATCAAACTTTATTAAGTAAAATACGTATCTGTGCACAAGTATACGTAATGAACTGATCTATTCATAGGGTTCTTTTCATGTTGATTTGAAATCGCTACACAACAGGAGGTGATGCCTTCAACTGGTGATGGCTGGAGGAGATAGTTTTAGCATAATTCTGCCTGACTTCTCTTCTTGTGTCAGTTTGCTTCAGCATTATCTTTTAAGTTCTTCTTTCTCATATATTCCTTGACTTCCAGGTAATTGATTTTTTTCCTTCTCATTATAATTCCCAGTTATTGTCTATGGAGCCCCACCTCCTGGATATGGAGCTCCACCTGCAGGATATGAAGCTCCACCTCCAGGATATGTAGCCCTGCCTGCAGGATATGAAGCCCTGCCTGCAGGATATGAAGCCCCACCTCCTGGGTACAGAGCCCCTTCTGCAGTAGTATATGGAGCCCCACCTCCCAGATACGGAGCTCCACCTGCAGGAAATGAAGACCCGCGTGTGGGATACAGAGCCTCACCTGCGGGATATGGAGCCACACCTCCTGAATACAGAGCTGCACCTGCTGGATCTGGAGCCAGGCCTCACGAATCTGCAGCAGCCCAAACTCCTGAAAATGAGGCTTCTCTTCCCTCTCCCTCCTCTTCTCACGTCCACTCTTAAGCTTCTTAGATGTAAACATTGAAGACTCACCAAGCAGAGAGGTACCCTAAAATTGAAGTCAGGATAAGGAGGAGGACTCAGGTATGTGATCACAGGCTTCTCGCAGGTAGTCATTCCACCCTTTGGAAGAGCATTCTTATGGGGTAAGGTGAAGCTTTACTTGTGTGCCTAGATTTTAGAAGCAGAATCAAGTCTTGATTAGCTGGCTAAAGTAAGAGTATCATTGTAGGGCTAATTCCCAGTAATTTGGTTGACATAGGGTTGCATTTTTAAACATACCTTGAATGTGAGTGTGGAAAAAGTTTCCTGTCTTTAGAAACACTTATTATGCTCCGTTTGCTAGGCACTAAATGCGTGCTAAAAACATCATGTTGAACACTTAGTTGTTTGAAAAAGCTAAATTCCCAATAGTGAAAGAGAATATTATAAATTATGGTATATGCATAAAATGGAGTATTATACACCTGTTGAAAACTATGTCTAGAGGTAGAGAAAGCCTCTTTGAGGAGGCCAAAAACAAAAACATGATAAATTTTACTATATCAAAATTTAAAACTTCTCTTTGACAAAAGTTAAAAGGTAGGCAACAGACTAGGAGAAAGTGATTTCCAACATATGTATTTAAAAAATTATGGTCAGAATACATGAATAATTACAAATCAGTTCTCCCCAAAATGACAAAAATTTGAATTGCTGAACAACCAAGACAATAATATGGCCAAAAAACATTTGAAAATGTGTTCAGCTTGACTAGTGTTAGGGAAATGCATCTTGAAATGAGAAAACGTTTTTATCTCCAAAGATATACAAATATTAAAACTCTTGGTGTGGCACTTTCACATCTTAATATCTACCCCTGAGAAATACTTGCACGTGTGCACAAAGATGCATGTCAGAAGATTTCATATTATTAATTGTTTCCAACAGCACAAAATTAGAAATAACTGATATGTTTATTAACAGGAAATATATGAATAGACTATGATATGCCCATGCTATATATGCAGAAATTTCTAAGACTTGTTGATAATGAGAAAAGTTGTAGGAAGCATATACTGCAGTGATTTTCAGCCTCATTGGACTGAATGCCCCATTTTATAACAAATATTTATATTTTATACCAAATGTTTATATTTGTATATTTGTAACAAATATTTTGTAATGTCTCCATAACTCAATGAAGTTTGTAGATAATTACATATGATTCCACACCATTTCAACCAAAATTAATATAATACCATAAATATGATAGAGGAAATAAAAGGAGATTATAGTAAAATTTTAAGTGTTTTAATATATAAATGCTCAGATTCTACCACATTAGAAAACATATTGAAGTAATCAAGTGTTCACTTCCATATACGTAGTCATCATAGGTAGATAAACTAGAAATGCTAACTGATATGAATATGTTGCTTTGGTGACTTGAATACCATTGCCATTGGCAATGTTGTTTTCCAAAATGGTGAGCAACCTTTGAACATTTTCCAAATAAAACAAAGTTTAGTTTTCCTTTGATTTACACAGTGGTTGAATTCCTGAAAATTTCTGTGTATATTAAAGTCATATAAATTGAGTTAGGCCCTAGGCTCAAATGATTATAAATGTGCTTCACCTACATCACTGGCCGGAGAGCTGTTTGAAAGTCAGGAGATAGCAGGGCGCAGTGGCTCACGCCTGTAATCCTAGCACTTTGGGAGGCCGAGGGGAGGTGGATCACCTGAGGTCAGGAGTTCAAGACCAGCCTGGCCATCATGGTGAAACCCCATCTAAAAAAAAAAAAAAAAAAAAAGTCAGGAGATAGACAATTCTTTGTTATGAGGTACTGCCCTGTGCCTTTCAGGATGTCCAGGGTCTTCAACTCCTCACCCATTAAATGCCAATAATGGCTGCCAGTTGTAAATAACCAAAAATGCTCCCACTTATTTCCTAATTGCTCCCGGGGGTAGGGGGAGGCAGTACTATCCCTGCTGAGAATCACTATTCTAGACTATTTGAAGGTTTTCAGCACCTTCAGATTCACCATTCTCCCACTCTGGGAAGGTAGGCAAAGTTCCTAATTTCATTGGCCTTTCCTTATCTTATTTTAGGCTCATCAAGCAACGTAAAAGGGAGGCCTTAAAAATATATGGTAGCCAGGTGTGGTGGCACATCCCTGTAATCCCAGCACTTTGGGAGGATAAGGTGGGAGAATCACTCGAGGCTAGGAGTTGAAGACCAGCTTGGGTGATGTAGCCAGACCCTGTCTCTAGGGAAAAAAAGCCAGTGTAGTACACAGTTGACCCAGAAGAGATTTAAATCAATATATTTTCTATGCCTTTTTTTTTTTTTTTGAGACAGAGTCTCACTCTATCACCCAGGCTGGAACACAGTGGTACAATCTTGGCTCACTGCAACCTCCACCTCCTGGGTACAAGCACTTCTCATGCCTCAGTCACCTGAGTAGCTGGGATTACAGGCATGTAACAGTATGCCTAGCTAATTTTTACTTTTTTCACTCTCTCAACCCAGCTTTTCCTGACTCCGGGAAGAACTGGGAAGAGAAGGCCCCTAGCTAATTTTTTTATTTTTAGTAAAGGTGGCATCTGGCCACGTTGGCCAGGCTTGTCTTGAATGCTTGGCCTCAAGTGATGCGCCCATCTCAGCCTCCCAAAGTGCTTGGATTACAGGCATGAGCCACCATGCCCAGCCAGTAATGAGATATTTTAAAGAATTTCTTCTTTCCTTACTTCCAAACTACAGTATGTGGGCAACAGTGACAAGGAGAGGAAGAGAGGAGAGACTCACCCAACTAGAGCAGGAATAAAGTTTCCCTTGTTCAGCTTTTCAGTGTCTGCTGGAATGTGATGGTAAGCTGGGAACAGGGTGAATGGGTAAGGCCTTTTTTATATAGGAAAGTTTTCCAAGTAACTGATATCTGGCAAATATTTGGGGATTAGAATTCTAAAAGAATACAAACTAGACTTCTCTTCTCCTCTCCATTTTAGTTATACTTGTACCAGGTAGAGTTGAGGTGAGGTCCAGTTACCTGAAAAGGGTAACAAGTGCAAGTTTCTTTCTTTCTTTCTTTCTTTTTTTTTTTTTTTGTGTTGGAGTCTCCCTCTTTTTGCCCGGGTTGGTTTTCAATGGCACGATCTCGGCTCACCGCAACCACCGCCTCCCGGGTTCAAGTGATTCTCCTGCCTCAGCCTCCCGAGTAGCTGGGAATACAGGCGCCCGCCACCACGCCCAGCTAATTTTTTGTATTTTTAGTAGAGACAGGGTTTCACTAAGTTGGTCAGGCTAGTCCCAAACTCCTGACCTCAGGCGATCCACCCGTCTCGGCCTCCCAAAGTGCTGCGATTACAGGCGTGAGCCACTGCACCCAGTCTCAAGTTTCTTGAAGATGGAATTCCACCATGTTCCCCTGTGCAAAGGGTACCTATTTACCTGCTCCACCAAACTGCCATACAACCGAAGACTGATTGTGTAAGGATAGAACCAAGCAGAGCCACAGTTTGGACCACATGGTACTGTGTGGCACACCTGCTGTTAGTTAGCTCCCACTGTCTGGTGCAGTTGTTTCCCCAAAGTCTCAGTCCAATTCATTCTATAAGAGACACTGTAAGAACTCTGTGTCCTGTATATTCAAAGGGCCCTGGTTTATGCTTTGCTTAGGACAAATCCAGTCAGAATTCAGCTGAGCCTTCTGTATGCTCAAAGCACTCGTGCCGAGTTCCTCAGCTCCTCACTGACATTTTGGGTACTTACTTTCTGACTCATTCACTGTGCTCATGGATTCTGCTCTTCCTGTCTCTTCCCCAGCTGCAAGACAGAAACTAGACTCTATTGTCTACTGTTTCATTTCCTATTAGAAATATAAAGGGATAGGCTGGGCGCGGTGGCTCACCTGTAATCCCAGCACTTTGGGAGGCCGAGGCAGGTGGATCACGAGGTCAAGAGATCGAGACCATCCTGGTCAACATGGTGAAACCCTGTCTCTACTAAAAATACAAAAAATCAGCTG